GCGAGGGTTGGCTTTGAGTCTGGTCTAGTTATAAAGCACATACAACTATTAGTCATGATTTCAATTACTTTTTACTTCCCCTTTATCGTCTGTTATTTCTTTCTTGTTTCACTGCTTGATTCTCATAATGTTGTAAGTAAGTTATAAATTCTACTTTTTATTATTGTTTCTACTTCCTTTTCTTTCACTATTTTTTTCAACCGACTTAAAGTTTCTGTTAGTTACCACATCCGTCGTGCTAATGAAGGCCAGCTGTGGTACTGATTTCGGATGTATGCGACGTAAGGGACCGAAACACTGCAGTTCAAGTCTCTTTTTCCTACTTCTTATTGTTCCTTGCTATTTTTTATGTGTTTTTGCATGCAAGCAAACGCAAAAAAGCATATTGACAAGAAGCTGTCTGTGTGTGTTTGCACTTTTTGTTAACCCACTTTCAACTCGTAAACCAGAAAAGCTAGAAGGCTGAAACTTCAGGAATATGTACTACACCATGTGCAACCCTCACGTTTTAATATCATCACCCGCGTACGACTGAGTCTCCGTACAAACGCCTTAAAAAATATGCAAATTTTTTGGCGATCTCGGGAATCAGAGAAAACAGAAAATTGAAACTTTGGAGGGATATCCTCTGTGCTGAAAGTTTTAAATTTAGCCCCTAGGTGCTCGTGATTCACAAGTACGAATACATGAAAGATCTGGTAGAAAAATTACTAACTTGGTAACCAAAAAGGCTGGAAGGCTGTAATTTTAAGGGGATGTTCCCTGTCCAAGTACAATTTAAAAATTTCAAATTCAGCCCTCAGGTGCGCACTATACTTTTGTATGAGCACGAGAAAGATTTGGCGGGGTAATTGCTAACTCGAGAACCGGAAAAACTGGAAAACTGAAGTTTTAGGAGAATATTCCCTGTCCAAATGCAACTTAAAGATTTTAAATTCAGTCCTCTAGGTATGCGTGATTCTCGTACAGAGCAGCTAAATTTTCGGCGAGAAAATTACTCATTGAACAGCTAGGTCGTTTTCGAATAATGCCCGTTAAATGGAAATTGTTCATTTTTCTTTATGCAGAATTTAAGGTAGTGAGCGCACTAGGTAGGTGGGAAGCAATAACCATTCGTGCAGTCTACGACCTAACTACTTTCAAGTTTGGTGCAAAACGAATGACCGCATCGCGAGCTTGGTGCGCTCCAGCCTGTGCTACTATAGCTCATTAGATTCTTTATCACACTTTGCCTACGTAGTCTACTTATTATAAACTATCACAACCTAACGTGTTAGCCGCTACGGCTAGCCTAATGCTCAAGTGCGAGATCAAGGTGACGAAAGTCTCACCTGAAAAAGTTCTCCTTGGCCGGAGAAGTTGCTAGATTTTGTCCCGAATTGGAATTGTCCATTTTGCTGATGTTTCATCGGCCGAGGGATATATCGTTGAAATCCTACATGTCTTCTTTCAAGTCGCTCGGGCAGTTAGATTGCAAAAGATGATATTTTGCGCATGGGAGTGGCTAAAGGCTCCCACGCTGGATACCCTCAGGGAATCAAAACTCGATTATATTTGCTGGCTTCTGGGCCCTGGCCCTTTTTGGGCTATATACCAATTTCAAAAATCTGCACCGATCGAATTTGCTGCTTACTGGAAGCGCTGCTGCGCTCAAGCGATGTTTCCTCACTCAAAATTTCTTCTTTTCACTTGTCATCAATCAAACGTCCCGTCTTCTGACTGATCTTTGCAAAGCACGTTTTTTTTGAGTTTTCCGAAATTGAGACATGCCGTGAAATACACAGCAAATGCTGATCAGTAACTCTAAAAAGGACCAGCAAAATTACAGATTAATATAATTTGTCGTGATACTTGTTTCGCGGAATGAAGTACAAACTACAACCATGTGTACTTTAAATGAAGAGAACCAAAAAGCAAATCGCGTTGATACAGTTCTTAGTAGAAGTAGTAAGCAGACAATTTTTAATAGTAAACAAGACTGCATCTTTAGGATTTTCGGG